AACAAAATTGGAGATAAGATTTTTGATTAATAATAATAATTTTAAATATAATAATAATTTATAATTATATAATAATACTAATCATACATTTTTTCAGTTGTTGACAATATAATGGTGATTCCCCTCACACCATAAACAACTGTGGCCACCGACCGGAACAGATAAAACTGATACTACGGGTGACCGAAATCCAAGCCCGCGCCTGGGGCTGCAACAAAGTCGAAAAACGACATGTAAAACCAGGTACTTTCGGTCGATTGAGGTTGGACTCGTAGTGGTATGTCATACGACCTTGGGCTAGATGCGTGTATCTTCGTTGAGAATATCACGTCTCGAGTAACGCCGTCGCTAGAAGTAGAACCGTTCCTAGAGTTATGCCCTATAAGGCAAGGTACTCGAATGAAATGTCCTTCTCAGGACAGAGGAAACAAGGACACTACCACCACTATCTCCAGAGATTTTATGAATTGTTAATAGTAATATTTTTTTAAAAATAAATATGTTTTTGAGTCTTTTATAAATAGAAATTTGTGTATAAATTTTTTTTTCCGTATAGTAGGTGAATTAAATGTTAAGTTAATTATCTAAAGATATTAGCGAAAGAAAAAATCGAACAAGATGCTATTGCCGGAACGGTTTATGAAAAGCCTGTTTTCGAGAACGACATTTTCTGAGACCGCCCTTAGAAAAACATTTTACTGAATGTACGATTCCGGCAATGTCGAGAAACTGTAAGAGAAATAAGGTTTAGAGGCTATGCAAAAAAATTACTACACTTCATAGAATTAAAAAGAAAAACTTAAAATACATTGTCTAAATACAGTGTTTTTCTTAGCAAGAGTAAAATAAAATTTAAAATTACGAGATACGTGTCTTTGCAATTTTCTAAATGAAGTCAAAATCGATACCAAAAAAAACTATTCCTTTTTTTCTCAGATTCGTATCGATTAGTTATCGAACCAGTCCCAAGATGGCTGCTGAAGCTCTTGTCAGCTGGCAATTCAAACTTGAACATTAATGAATTCTCAACAGTCACAATAATCATGGAATAAAATACGTCGTAATTAGAGACTGGATAGTTTATGATTAGTCACAATATTATTTTTTGTTATCTTCATGTGAGCAAACATAGATATAATTCTTATCACAGTCACTGATAAAGTACTTTCAGGAAAATTATTTCTATAATCGTAATATACGGATTATTCAATGCTAACATTTTGAACGAATGTGACATATTTTGATCATTTAAAAAATTGTAACATTATTTATTCGCATTTATCTTCAATACCGTAGTGAATGGATATTTTTGCATCTTGCATCCATTCTAATTTTGATGAATAGTCATTATTTTATATGTGTATAAAATCGTGTGCTCGAAACAGAAAAATGATTATCTTTTATTCTAAAAATTGTGTAACACTCAATAGTTGAAAATGAAAGTTAACTTCCTTAATGTTATTCGGTTACTTTTAACAACATTTTAAATTATAAAAATTATGGAGACATCTGTAAATGATGCTGAAATACAATTAAAGAATCACTTTGAACAAATATTATTGAATGCGATGAATGGTAATACTGATATCGAAATAATGGAGGAGAATTCATTACATTCTGAAGAACCATATAAGGATTGGGAATCAGAAATTATAGAAGACGAAGAATATGCATCTGCCATCTAGGAACTAAAAATGTCTGATGGAGCATGTACTACTGATAAAGAGAGCTTAAGTCATGATTATAAATCACGAACAGTTGAGCATTCACAAAGTGGTAAGAAAAAGAATTTAAGTATCTATAGTGTTGAGCAAAACTTCAATAAAGTACAGTCTACTCGACAATTAAAACGCTGGGCACATCAATTGAACCAAGGTAACACGTACAAAGAAAAAATAGCTCATATTTACAATTATACGTTGGAAAATTTTAAAACTGCTATCGATGTTGGGATAAGAGTCCATGATTTCGATTTAAACAAATGGGCACTATGAGTGAAAAAAATTTACAACTTGATGATCTTCAGCTCCAGAAGGAGAAAAAAAAAATAGAGTGCACAGTTCAATCTGTTTCTTTGACAACTCACAGTTATACTATACAACCAACGATATTAGCTGATGGAAAACTTCTTCCTCCTCTTTTTCTTGTGTTAAAAGAACCAACTAGAGAACGTGGTTCACGGGTAGAAGCATCGCTTTTTAGACGAGATAATGTACACGTAGAAATATTGAAATTCAGAAAACTTCGTTCTGGTAAAAAAATCAATCTAGGTCTTATATTATATGATATATTCTGGAGGTTTATATACTAATTCTTTTCAGAACACTTTAAAATCTGGTTGAAGAATGTATTCTTTCCGAATGTCGGAAACAAAGTTCACTCTTGATTGATTCATGGATTGAACAATGATTTGAAGCTATTACGTCTGCCAAACCGCCGGATAAAGAAATTGAGATAATAATTATTCTTAAAGTGGCTACTAGACAAATGCAACTATTAGATGTTTTCGGGTTTAGAATATGAAAAAACTTTGTAAGATATTTTTCAGACAGTTTCCTATTACGAGGAAATGATTTAAATTTACACTTGAGAAATAATATTATTAAATTACAATCACTGACTCATAATCAACGCTCGTCTCCACAATATATAAATCTTTTTCGATATTTATGGTTTAAAAGTAGTGGGAAAGAAAGGAATATTTTTTTTTGGCATCGATTTTGACTTCATTCAAAAATTTGCAAAGACACATATCTTGCAATTTTTTATGCTCTTTCGATTGAAATTGGTCCTATTGAAAAATAGTTAATAGTTTTGGAGTTATCGTTTTTTTGTTATTTTTCATAAAAAAAATGTATGTCTGTAAGTTCTATAAATATGTAAATAGAGATATTTTTTATCATTATCTATGTTGTTTTCAACGTATAAGTTCGTTTTGAAACAATTCTATTAGAAATATGTAAAAATTAAAAATCACCTTTATAGGATGTCAATTTTGGGGGTGATTTTTACCCCTTTAAAACGTTTTTCCGTCAAAAAAATACGTGGTTCATTATTTCTGACGTAGATTATTATATAGAAAACTCAGCTAAATCGACGGTGACCACTTCGCGAGGTTTCCTTGCTAGTCTGATGTGAAGGTAGTAAATGCGAAGAATATTCACTGCAGAAGCCAGCACTACCAGAGTGTGATATGTAGAATGATGTAGGAGACAGTAGATAACCTCAACGAGGTCCAAATTGGCAGGTCCCAAACATAAACTATAAAATATGCAGACTAGGAAATTTTTTCTTAAAAGTTTAATATTTTTTTACAACATATTCGTATCATGATTGCATTCAATTATTTAGTATTTTACATTTCTTCTTACATTGAATGTCTTAAGATTACAATACCATAATGTGTGTAGGTCCTTATATAAGTACATTCAACTTTCCATGTCCTGGAATTCGCAGTTTATAAAATGTTTGAGTGCAAAACCAGTCGTGGAACCGCGAAAAAGCCTTAGAATCTACTGTTCTGGAAAGGAGCTGGCCTTTCCATCTGGCGCTTAGCAAAGATCTATCCATCTATCCTACTATATAAATTTCTAGTGTCTGTTTGTCTATTTGAGGTACTCTCCGAAACGGCTAATCCGATTGCGACTTACTTTTGCAAACATATAGAGGGCATTGTGCGAGAGATTATAAGCTACTTTTTGTTCATGTAAATTGTTTATAACAATTGATTTTGTTATGGCCAACGGGAAACGGGATATTCTTGATACATTTGAGTCCTTCGACGTGTAGTTTTTTCTTGTTTTAAAATAACAATTGAATTTATTGTAAAAGAACAGAAATTAAGTCTTAAGATAGAATTCAAGTTCTTTCCTTTTATCTTTAATACTTACGTATTTATTTTTGTCTTTCGTATTGTGTAGTCTCAAGCACACTTGTATTTCTTTTGTTTATTACATCGATAGAAACAAACTCATCCTGTTAATGACAGTTAAATTCGTCATGCACACATTATGGAAGTAACTTCGCAATGAATTAGATGTCTACTAAGAAGATGTTTTCTTTTTCAACAAATCAAAGTTGCTGTCTATGTAATATAGATGGAAACGGACTTCTTTTGTTTTTATCAATTGAATCGTTATGAAGGAGCAGATTTCAAATCTCATGATGAAATTTTTTCCGTCCATTATTAATTCCTACGGAATTATTACTATTATTTTTATACCGCAACTAAGCAATGGGTAGCCAAGATTGCCTAATTTGAATTACGAACGTACTATTCATAACTTTCTTCAATCAATCTGTTATTCTGTAACTCAATTTATACATTACGCGGACGCAATCGCGGAAATCCGCTAGTCTATACTTCTATGTTAATTTCTCGTGTCTGTCTGTCTGTTTGGGGCAATCTCCGAAACGGTTAATTCGGTTGTGATCAAATTTTGGGAGCATGTAGAAGGAGTTGTTGCAAAGGTTATTAGCTACTTTTTAGTTAACAAAATCGTTTCTAACTACAATATTTATCACAAAAAATGAAAAATGGGTGTAAAATGAATCTACAAGTACTTTTTTTTTGTAACATATAATTTGTTGTAAAGAAGAATAATTTGAGTCTCACGATAGCATTCGAATTATTTTCTTCTATTATTAATTCTTAAGAATATGTCATTTTTGCTTTAACTCAATCACATAGCAATTGGTTTCTGAAACGGGGTTATTCACTAGAAAGTTGCAGGAATCTACTAGTTGACTTATAAGTGACTTTCTAAGCAGTTACTAAATCCAGTCGTCAAAATCAAAAAAGCACACGATGTCGAATTACTTACGCGTGGAAGGAATTAAACCTTTGTGTAGGAACAATTATGAAGTTTTGTTTTGTGAGAACCGAAAATTGTTAATTTAGTTAGTTTTATTTAATTATTTAGAGCCGAAAGATCGATAACAGATGAGCAACGCCGTAGGATGTGGTCAGGAGAGGGGTACACACACAAAAAACACTTTTCTTGAGTTTTATGATCGTTTTATTATAAAAAATAAATGATTAATAACTTTAACAAGAAATTATGAACACTAGTAGAGCCTAGCAGAGCTTTTAGGAACTTTTTAGAACTTGAATAGAGCTTCGTACAATTATTTTATAAGAAAATCGAAAGAGCGATAACAGAGCACGTGTACTCGAGCGTCGCGTGAGCGTTAATGACTGCAAACACGTTGTAGCCGGCGTCGGTAGACCTAGCACAATAATAGGACAACTATCATTGGCTAGGTTGGAGAAGACGAGCTGTAATTAGTTGAGCGCTAAAAGGAGAGCTAGAATAGGGCGAGCGGATCGGGTGAGCTCGACTAAGCACGAGCTGGGATGAGAGCGAGACCAGCTGACAGGTTGCGATTAACCTCTCGCAACAAGTTTAGAAAATTCATGTGGCGGTACTGCTTATCAAGAATGATCTTTGGAAATATATGAGTAATAAGAAAAATATCCCTAAACTTGATGGAATTGATGCATTTAGTTTAGCGGTAAGATAAGAATGATGTAATTTACAGATCGAGAACAACCTGATAGCAAGGTCTGACATTATTTTGGGAAATATTCATCTGAGTCACAACTTACACACGGGTTTGGTATATCTTTTAAAGTTCAACTAGTTAAAGCGAGTACTTATTTAGGAATTTCTTGAGTTGTTATTTTTATTGGGTACTAAGTGGTCACAGAAAACTGTTACTTACATACAGCCTAAAAACTTGTACTATGAGTCATTTTGGACAGCAATATAGTGTATATATTCCAGGCTTACATCATCATTATTACGGTTCATTTTTCTCACTACACTTATCTTTCATCTCGCAGACATTTTGTACACGAAGATCAACGTTTTTGGCAGATCATCGAGATATTTTCTGATATCGCTTTTTAAATAACAACAATTTTATTCAGGATGTAAGAATATATAAGCCAAATATGATTTCAATTTTTTTATAATTGTATTCCATCTTCAATTTAAAGGTGTAGTTTGTAGTTCCATTTATTTCACGATTTTTACGAAAAAAGTATTGAAAATTTCGAAGGACTTATGCCGTTGATTATAGTGCATTGTAATATGATCCAATGGCAATGTTATTGATATCGAGTTTAGTGAAAAACAATACGAATATTTATTTAATTGTATGGATATAAATTTCAACTGAAATTTCAGAATCACTGCGTATATTATACATCTAAATTATGGTGATATGCTTTACTGGTGTTGAGGCTTTGCAAGCACAAGTTGATCCTCAATGAATGATCACAGAGTCGAAGGTTTCAGATGTATTCTATTCGAAAAAACGTTAATAAGTGGTACATACAATTCAATTGGAAAAAAAACATCTAATTGAGATATTGGTTATATTGATGGCTTTAAATAATAACGCAAAAATTCACTCTAATTCTAAAGACTAATTGCAATTAATGCACGAAGAGTATTGACTATTCTAATTAAATAATTATAAAAATTATAAGAACTTATGTCATTAAACCTGTTTGTACAAATCAAATTCTTGAACAGCTATTGATGGCCGGTTGACATTTTAATTATGAAACTAGTCTCTTATATTATTTATCTCTTTAATTAATTGAGTGTGTAAATAAGCATGACTTACAGACGATATAATAGTGAAATTAATCATAAACAAAATTTCTATAATGATAATTGTTGTGCTTTAAATAAGAGTAACTATCGTTTGCTTGTTTCTTAATATTGATTCTGTGATTATTGATTATATTATCTGGAATTGATAACGGCTTCGCAACACCTATTTTAACTGTTCCTTTTGCAGCATTCTTAAGTACTTGCACAGCTTGATCTAATGTTGAATTTTCTAAGATTACGTCATTGACAGAAATAAGACGATCACCTGGAATAATTTGACCGTCAATTTGGGCTACTCCACCAGGAACAAGAGATCGAATGACGATGACTGTCTTCTTCGGATTAACAGGATCCTAAAAAAAAACAAATAATTATCATCTAATTTTTCACTTATGACAATACCATAATAATAAAGAATTGATAAAGTTTTGTTTATAACAATCATTTATTGCGATGTTTTACAAAATATTTTTCCAGGTTTATGTGAGCGAAAATCATTAAAAATTAAAGGCGTTTGTATTTAATTTACGATTTAACTTGTTATGTATTTTTGCTCTCTTTAAAGCGTTAATATGTGAGTCATATGATTAATCATAGAGACTTAAAGTTCTATTTTTTAGTCCTAGAATTTCGATCAATAGACAAGGAGGAAGGAATTTTCGATAGAGAAAGTGAAAATGTGTGATTTATATAAAAACTATAACAAGATTGTTAATTAACCCATTAACGCCGAAGAATCGTGTTTTTTTTTCTCATTTTCAAGCTAGATTCTTATCATCGAAAAAAAATCATTTGCAAATAAAAAACATGTTCCCTTGTACTTTCGAGTGTCCTCTTTCCGAATCCGGAGTCGAAATTAAGTTTTGTCGATTAGAAAAAAAATATGGCCGTTTTTAAACAAAAAAAACCGAAAAAATCGAAGACATTTTTTTTTCAATATTTTTTTTCTCATTGAAGACGCTCAAGGAGCCCCCCTTTTTCTTCAACCATGAGTGCACAAAATAGTTGTAGTTTAAGAATATATTTTTTTAATTTGTCGACATTGACATTTTCACCCCCAAAATGGCGCTTTTCATCCCTTCAGCAGGAAGACAATTTTCACTCTCGGTGCCCGACAAAAAAAATATTCAAATCTTAACGAAAATTGGAATCCCGGGGTTTTCAAGGTCGCTGATTACGATTCCGCCCTCAAAATTCAATAATTTAAAATGGCGGATCCAATATGGCGGACCCAAATTCAAAAACTTATTTGAATCGGATGAAATGTGGCACTCGGGGGTTTTCGAGGTCGCTAATTACAAATCTGTCCTTAAAATTCGAAAATTCAAAATGGCGGATGCAATATGGCGGACACCTTCCCATTAACGCCCAGTTATTATCTAACGTTTATTGAAGAATTGACAACTTTATATATTGACAAATTGACAAATTTATAGAAATTCATCACTCCGCATTACTCAACGGATAAACTTATAATTCCTTTTTCTACTCTTAGCATTACCCAGAGAAAACGACATGGACGTGGTAGAAATCCTTTCTTCTTTGGGGTGCTCGATTTGAGTGAGTCCCCTTGCCTCTCACTTTTTGGGGTGCTTGATTCGAGTGAGGCCCCTTCCCTCTCACTTTTTGGGGTGCTTGGTTGTAAATGCGCCCTTTGCTTATCCCCGAAGCCTGATTACGTGTTTCGCTTTCATACAAGCACTACAGAAATAAGCATTACAGTCCTTACAGTACGTATATGTTCTTAATGGACAGATTGAACAACGAGCTTGTTTGCTGTGACGGAAAGTATCGTGTGCTTTGTTCCGTTTTAGTTTTCCCCTTTCTAAGTAATATTTAGCAATCGAAATTGCGAATTGCTATGAACCAATTTTTTTTGTTTTATCTCCAGTTGCGTTGAAAATCACGACTGAATTCACAATGGCGGCCTGAATAAATCTAATAAAGACGACCCATGTCCATTTTTTTGAACGGATACTAGGAAGCAAGTTGTTGCAATGTCCATCGTGCACGTCTACTCCGCCCATGAATTTATTGTAGAGATGAAATGCTTGTGGAAACGGAATCTCAATTTTTGAATGTGCACTCGAGCTAAATCTCTCAGACGGTAGTAGAGGAGTTACCCCTGCAGCGGTAGAAGCGATCGAAACTGGTTTCGAGTCTACGATAGCTATGTAGTTTATTCCGCTGTTTTGATCATGCTTTACAACATACGAACCTCGTGGAGACTTTTTGTCGATTACATTTTTTTCTTTGACTCGATTTTCTCTTATAGTTTCTGTACATTGTAAACCTAAATTTTTCAAATGTACTAGGAGATCGAAATTCGTAAAAAAATTATCGCAGTAAAGATGGAACTGAGATATCTTCTTAGGAGGGATAGATTTGAGAAATGGATCCAATAATTCCATCACTACACGAGAACCTAGAGCACATTTACCCAATTTATCTCCAATTGATGAGGTTTTTCCACAATATAAATCGAGATTCAACAGGTATCCATCGGCGGTGCAGAGACCCCAAAATTTTAGTCCGAATCGTATGGGTTTTCCCCGGATAAACTGTTTTAGCGATGTTCTTGCATATGATTTGGCCATCATTTCGTCAACAGATAACGCAGTCTTCCACAAGCCAAACTGACGAATATTTCTCTGAAATAATTGTAGTAATTTACGAACGCGCCATGCCTTATCACTGGGATCATTGTCTTTAGGCATCGAATACTTCAATTCTGATTTAATTTTCTCAAATGTATCGCGTTGCATTGCAGAAGAAACCACCTCACATAATAAGAAGGGATCAGTTGACCAATAGTCTCTTTAAGATTTTCTTTTATTGAACGAGCTTACAATGATGATGCCAATGAAAGTATTCAAATCATCCAACTGCAATTCAAACCCATTCTCTTTACATGAGTCAATAATGTATGTTTTCATTTCCATGCAGAAAAACTTTTCAAACAGTTGTATCGGCTCACTTTTTTAAATACTTTTTTTTACACCGTCAGTTAGTAATAATTTGTCTTCAGTCTCATTCGGGTAGCTCTTTTCACCAACCATCCACTTATATTGGTGATCTCCTTCCAATTTACATTGATTATCTGTGTAATTTTCCGATGCTTGTTTATAAGTGATACTCGAAAGGTGATCGTTTGATTCAAAATCAGAATCGGAATCACTAGAACAACCAGAATTGTCTGGATTCGGAATCGCGACGAGCTCGTCACAATTATCGTCAGAAGTATCCATTTCAAACTCTACATGAGAAGGAATAGATTGCCTTGGTCGTTTTCGAGACATAATGGTAATATTGTCAATATGCTCACGCTGCCGATGAGATAAGAATTATCGAAGAAGTGAATTCACTCAGGAGCAATAAAGATGATAAAACAATATTTTATGAATAAATTTTGTTGAGGTACTGAGCTGAAATTTAGGTATATAAGTGGGTTCGATTTAGTCTCAAGACAAGTTCTACGAAAATAGAAACCAAATTACTCAGATGAGGAATATTGGCAGACCTAAAATGAACACAAAAATTCTGAGCTAATATTTTTTACAGAAAATAAAATATCATTAGCAATGTGAACGATCCACACTCCACAAACGTGAAAAATTGAAAAAAGATGTGATAGGCATATACAAAAATTATTTGCAGACAGAAATATTTATGGATAATAAATATATTTGTATCAGGGATAATATTCAATGATGACCCGTATAAACAAAAACAAGATGAAATGTAAAAAAATCGGAGATTTCTCAGCCTCTGCAACGTCAATTTCATTCGACACATGAAAAATATAATATATGATCATAAAATGTGACTCAATTGAATGATTATTATTTACATTTATATGAAGTTGTCAATTCTTCAATAAACGTAAGATAATAACTGGGCGTTAATGGGAAGGTGTCCGCCATATTGCATCCGCCATTTTGAATTTTCGAATTTTAAGGACAGATTTGTAATTAGCGACCTCGAAAACCCCCGAGTGCCACATTTCATCCGATTCAAATAAGTTTTTGAATTTGGGTCCGCCATATTGGATCCGCCATTTTAAATTATTGAATTTTGAGGGCGGAATCGTAATCAGCGACCTTGAAAACCCCGGGATTCCAATTTTCGTTAAGATTTGAATATTTTTTTTGTCGGGCACCGAGAGTGAAAATTGTCTTCCTGCTGAAGGGATGAAAAGCGCCATTTTGGGGGTGAAAATGTCAATGTCGACAAATTAAAAAAATATATTCTTAAACTACAACTATTTTGTGCACTCATGGTTGAAGAAAAAGGGGGGCTCCTTGAGCGTCTTCAATGAGAAAAAAAATATTGAAAAAAAAATGTCTTCGATTTTTTCGGTTTTTTTTGTTTAAAAACGGCCATATTTTTTTTCTAATCGACAAAACTTAATTTCGACTCCGGATTCGGAAAGAGGACACTCGAAAGTACAAGGGAACATGTTTTTTATTTGCAAATGATTTTTTTTCGATGATAAGAATCTAGCTTGGAAATGAGAAAAAAAAAAACACGATTCTTCGGCGTTAATGGGTTAAAATGATAAAAAAATTACAATAACAATTGAAACGTTACCAACAGATGATTCCTTCAACTCAAGTTAAAGAAAAATCCTCAGTCAAAGCTCTAGTCAGCACAATATTCACTTCTACTCGCAAATTTAATTTAAATATTTATTGGAAATAACTTGACATCAAATTAACTTTATACAAAAATTTACTAATTTTGAATTATTATCAATGCAATATTTGAGACAAACAAGACTTCTGATTTCAAGAGATGTTCTACGATGATCTGATCTCGATCTTACTTTTCTAACAAGTGACTGATGCATCAAACCTTACGTATTCATTTAGTCGAATGTGACATGATTAAAAGTCCCTTGCTTCAGGCGCGCACAAGTCCCTTCGCATGGTCTCTTCCTTTTTTGGGAAAGCTAACGCTCTCCTTACGTCAAGTACTCTTTTTTTAAAGTTTTATTGCTTTTCGCCACGTGGGTTTTCTAAATTAAATAAAATTTCTGAAAGATAATTTCTTTAACTATTATTCGAAATCTTTTTGCGATTTGAAGCATACGATTTTAACGAAATCTTAGGAAAGCACAAAAATGTAACTTAAGTAATAATCATTAACCTCAATCCTTAAGTTCTATAGCTATTCATTTTGAACTTTTCATAAAATACATATTGAATAATTATGTAAAATAATTGAAATACACTAACAGATTACAAACCCTATACTGGTTACTCTATGAGGAAATTCCCGCAATTTATCTTATTTTATTATTTAAATACAACCTATCTCTTCGATTGCTTTGAACAATTTTCACTTCTTTTCCACGACATTTCTGAAGAGACTGCCGTATGCCGTATAGAGGTGACCAGTACTGCGATATTTCATTATGTGACTAATCTAGCGTTAATCATATTGAGACGCATGAGAGTTTTGGCTTGTGATGAAACACTTAAATTACATGAAAACATTAATACTTCTGACTTATTAATTTCGATTAATAAAAAAAAAATTACTTAGAATACTGTTTCTTTTATATTAGTAACAGTCTAGCCTGTAGGTATGTTACTCATTTCGCATCGACGTCACCCATGTATTACAATATTGATAGACCCAACCTCTAAACAAAAGACTTTTACATCAATGAACAGTGTGAGATGAGAAGAATAAAATTAATCGGAATTTTAGAGTATTTTCAGAAATTTAATGTAACTGTAAAAATTTGCGCAATTCTTCCAAACTGTTGTAAGAATTTAATAAAGATATCAGAAATGTTAGAGCGTTTTTGTTGTTCCGCGGATGACGAGTAGGCATTTGACACAATATCACACGAACTCTCTATTTGCCTTAATACTTTTTCGTACCTCAACAAAAGATTAATGTACCATCTGATTCAAATCTGGAGAACATGTTTTACTGTAGCATTTAGGTAATGAAAATTTGCATTTCAAAAGCGAGCAAATAATACTTTAAGCTTCAAGCTTAAGGCATTTTTCTTAGCAGCACAGGCAGACACGCCTATAATATTCATATGTAATTGATTGAAATTTGAATCGAATTCTCTACAAAAAAGTCTGCAGGAGCACCTGTCTATCGTGGGCAGGTAAAGATGTACAGCGCCGCGAAGGCGCGCTAAAAATCGAGCATTTTGGGCGGTCCGACAGAATACGGCGTTGAGCGCCTTTTTAATTAACATTTTAAAAAAAAATATTTCCAACGTATGAAAAAATTCTGAGAAAATTTTATTTTATATAATATCTTAAGGATCTTTTTTTTTTTGAATTTTTTTCGTGAACTTTGTACTCTTATATTTTTTTTGTTCATAGGTACTTTTTATAGCCAATTCAGAAGCAGGTAGGATTTTTTCCGCTGTATAAAGTGGCTATATCAGTTTTTTAAAAAAATTTTTTTTTTCAATACCGAAAAAAATCCAAATGTTGATTTCGGGTTCTTTCACCCTTATTTTGGAGGTAAAGTTATTTTCTAATATGAAAATTATGTACAGCAAAGTTTCATTGAATATGGAAATTAAACGTCTTTTTTCAACAATTTTCACTCAATCTAAGATATGCAACACACGTATGCACAAGTTGCAACAGGACTGCACTAGGAGGCCCCGCCGCTTTACAATTAAAACGAGTAGAATTGAATATTTGACAAACTTTAAAACACTTGTGCATACGTGTGTTGCATACTTTAGTTCGAGCACAGCTGTTGTCGAGTTGAAATGTAGAAATCCTTTTATGTCAAATAAAGATTATGTTCTGTATTATATAAAGCAGTAAATATTATTTAAATTAAAATTATAAGTTGATTAACATGGTAGCAGGCAAGTGGTTTGATAAAATCAAGAATTGAGTGAATAATTTCGTTGTTGAGTTAAGCTAGGGAGGACAAAAGGAAAAGCGCCGGTTGGAGTCTCCATTTTGTGAAATAGAAATTCGTGGAAAAATTTTTCAGTTAAAGACTTTGTTAGAAAAAAAGTGCTGGTTTTGAAAGATGGAAAGAGGCGATGAATAAAGAAATAGAGTGTTTAAATAAAAACAAAACCTGGACATTTGTCGAAAAACCGAATGTTAAAAAAATATACGATTTTAAATGGGTGTATAATATAAAAGCTGATGATGTCTATAAAACAAGATTGGTTGTAAGGAAACTTCAGCAAGACAAGCTGATTGATGATTTTTTTTTCACCTGTTGTGAGAATGCAAACGTTAAAAATTTTATTGTCATACTGTTGCAATAATAACTCAATCATAATACAAATCTATGTTAAAACACCCTTTTTTAATCAGCCAAGTCAAATCTGAAGTGTGTGTACAGCAACCCCAAGGTTTCGAAGATGGAACTGATAGAATGTTACAACTGAATAAGGCATTGTATGGTCTTAGAGAAAGCCCTAGAGCGTGGTACAAGTGTTTTGATGGATATTTGAACTACTTATACTTCAACAGAAGTGAAAATGATGACTGTTTGTATGTTTTAAAAGAGGAGGATCATAATATCTACTTAATTTTACTTGTTGATGATTTACTATTTTGTTGAAAAGATGTTGAAATCCTTTGAGGTCAAATAAAGTTTATGTTCTGTATTATAAAAAGCAGTAAATATTATTTAGATGAAAATCATAAGCTAATTACTTGAACTTTTTGCACTACTTGTCCGAGTTGAATCCGCACGGTAGGAGATATTATTAGATTTCAGATCATAACAAGATACTAAAATAAATTCGGTCAATATCCCCAGCGGGTTAGTTGTTGATTTTCTAGCTCGAATGATACTTTATCAGATTGAAAATGTAGGTAATTTGTCAGGCTCAGTATTACTTACTCACTAATAATATTACGAAGTAAATACACTGTGACGTTATTTTTGGGATAACGTCCCATTGACGCTTAAAAAAAATAATTTAATTAACATTGGAGGCTAAGCGTAGCCCAGTTAGTTTGCTCTAGCTATTCTTCACGTGTTGCTCTATATTTTTGGAGCTTCCAGGACCTATTTTAATGGTCATTACAGTAATTGTTTACGTTGTGCTTAAAAGATTATTTTACTTGATTATATACTTTTGTTAATAATTATTTATTTCGATTGTTAATGTAAAATATCAGTATACACGATAATTAGCAAGGTTGGAAGATTACGTATGTAGCTCTGGTAATAGGAAAAGACTCAATAGGATGAGGAGGAGTTGGTAGAGGAGAAGAGATAATCATTTGTGGAGATGAGAACCATTAAGTGGAGAAGTGGATCGCTGACGTGGAGTAGAGGGCCAAACAAAACGTGCCACCCGTTGGATGGTTCATGCTATGAGACGTTCTAGCCCTGTGAGTGATCATCACCTGATCAGGCCCAGTAACATGGCACTCCAATGGAAGAGATGGAGGTGTGGAAGGTGCATTTTGGAGATTTTGTGAAGCAATTAGACTTAAGTTGAAGAATTAGTTATAAGTTTGCAGGCCTTGTGGGGGAAGCCTGATCAACTTTGCCTCCAAGAAAGCACCTAGGTTAAGACGCCCTTCCACAACGAAATCTAGGAGAGATCACGTGATGGAGACTACTAATGGGGGCACACTTTTACAAATCAAGAAATACTTATGCTATTGGAGGGGGAAAGTGAGAAGACATCGAACCATTGAAGAGGGACAAGAAGTAAAATTTTGGAGACGGGAGAGTAGAGAGTTAGAATTTGGAGATTGCCGGAAAAAGTCGATTTTTGGAGTCTGAAAAGAGCAGTCTATAGTTGGAGACGCTAGAGTCATGAAGAAAATTGTTGGAGGTTGAAGAGATTGAGCAGGTCAAGGAGGAAGATAGAACACAATAGAGACATGGCGGACCGCAGGGAGATCCCTGGTGCAGAGAGGAAGTTCCAGTTCATCCAGGAACCAGTCGAGACCAGATTACGTCATCTAAGTATCCTCTGCAGCTCCTGTAAGTCGTATTGAGTCCAATTGTTGTGGGATTTTTAGTAGTTTATTAAAAATTTAGTTTAATATAATGTAGGATAATCGATCTTCCACCCTTGGTTTGCTCTCGTGATTTAGTCTAGTCAATAAGTTCAGTTCAGAAGGTTATAGTTAATTTGAAGAATTATGATGATTTTGCTTCGGGTTTTAGAGTCAATTATAGAGTAAAAATTTATTGTATTTGGGATTGGAATTGTTAATTTGAGATTTAAATATGTTAGAAAATTTATAAAAGGAGAATTATTGACAATTAAAAAAATAATTGATTGAAGAGTTTGTAAAATGTTCCAGAATTTGAATTTTAAAATAAATTAATAAATAAGTGATAATCGAGACTCAAGTAATTTGGGTAGAAAAGAACCTTCAACTCCCTTATGTTTGGTTATTATTCTGGTAAATTCTATGGGGTACAACCGATAAATTTCCTTGCCGGCCCTGACCCTCTCTCCACAACCCACATAACTGAGCTCCAGGAGATCCCCTGTCAGGACCTTTTTACCGGCCGCATCTTATTTAAGTTTAGTTTAAGATTTCGTGACTAGTTTTAAGATTTTTGAGAATTTTGAGGGTTTGGTTGAATTTTAGTTTGAGATTAGTTGTACGTTTGGTCTAGGTTTAAGATTTTTGGATATTAGGTGTAAGCTTTGCCAGTTTAGTTATTCTGGCGATTAAAAATAACTTGGCGCCCGTCGTTTATAATTTTTATGGGCGAACCAAGGATGTTAGTTGGTAAAATAGAGTCCTAGAGGAAGGTGAATATTCAGTACACCTACCCCAGTGGAAAAATATCGTCACAACACATACCATGTGAAATCAGATTCATTGACATTTTATGATGAGTAATATTAGTAATATTAAATTTTTACCTGATAATCCAGAATAGAAAATCCTAGTCCTCTCTCTCCTTTCTTCAATTTGATTTCCTGATATTCCGTACTCCACATCGCGAAGTTTGTGAGGGGCTCAAGAGATCGCGATTTCGCTTTCATTGTAACATCATTCATGCTATCTGACATGTTGGTAGATGCTAATGACTCATCTGATTTAGCTTTCACTAATTTATCCATGACATTCATCGACTGTACAGATAGGTCGTGTGAAATGTTCTGCAAAAAAGTAAGACAAAAAAATAAATTCTACAGTAAATTGGCAAATGTTTTGCATTTGGAACTTAATAAAAATGAGTAAACGAATAACAGCGAATGCTCTGTCAAGTTATTGTAATTTTTCGGTCAATTTTACAATGCATTCAAAGATGCACTCAGATCAAAATACAAAAAAATCACATGTCAAGTCACTTGATTTTTTAAAAACATGGGCCCTATTTTGGACAATCGTGTTCAATAATTTTTTAATAATAGAGAACATTACAAAAATCTGGCCAAATTATATGACATTTTTTAAACTAAATTTTTTTAATGAAGTTGAAATTAATTGCAAAAAAAAAAATTTATTTTAAATTTCCAACAACAAAACTACTTTTTTAATCATTTAAAGGAAATTAAAAATGTATTATCATAGACTATTCATCTAAATTAAAAGAAATATGAATTATTATTCTAGAAGACATAGCACTTTATTCGATTTCAAACCTTTTTGCTGTTTAAAATTAACTATTTAACGTAGACAAGTCTAACAGAAATTCTGAGAAATCTGTGATCTAGACACGTTGAGTATTTTTAATTGTTTATGGTATATAGCATGAAGAGACAGCATTCATTCTTGCAGAGCCCTCATGCTCATTCTACATGATGAGAAATGACCGGCATCTGACAAGAAAACCTCGCGAGGTGGTCATCGTCGATTTAGCTGAGTTTTCTGTATAATAATCTACGTCAGAAATAATGAACTACGTATTTTTTTGACGGAAAAACGTTTTAAAAGGGTAAAAATCACCCCCAAAATTGACATCCTATAAAGGCGATTTTTAATTTTTACATATTTTTAATAGAATTGTTTCAAAACGAACTTATACATTGAAAACAACATAGATAATGATAAAAAATATCTCTATTTACATATTTATAGAACTTACAGACATACATTTTTTTTATGAAAAATAACAAAAAAACGATAACTCCAAAACTATCAACTATTTTTCAATAGGACCAATTTCAATCGAAAGAGCACAAAAAATTGCAAGATATATGTCTTTGCAATTTTTTGAATGAAGTCAAAATCGATGCCAAAAAAAAATATTCCTTTCTTTCCCACTACTTTTAAACCATAAATAACGAAAAAGACTTATGTATTGTCGAGACGAGCGTTGATTATGGGTCAGTGATTGTAATTTAATGTTATGTAATTTTGCTGTTTAAGAGTGTCAATATGTAAACCATATGCTCAACCTTAGAGACTTTAAGTTCCTTTTTTTAGTCCTAGCCTTTCGACCAATGAACAGGGATGAGGGGATCTTCGATAGAGAAAGTAGAAATGTGTGATTTATATAAAAACTATAACGAAATTTTATTGAATGAGAATTATTGAAAAATTATAACAACAATTTAAACGTTACCAACAGATAGTTTCTTTCACTCTGGTCGAGATGAATTACAATTATTCGATCCTTTGTCGATGCTCCAGTCAGAGCAATTATTCACTTCTACTCGCAAATTTAATTTAAATATTTATTGGAAATAACTTGACATCAAATTAACTTCATACAAAAATTTACTAATTTTGAATTATTATCAATGCAATATTTGAGACAAACAAGACTTCTGATTTCAAGAGATGTTCTACGATGATCTGATCTCGATCTTACTTTTCTAACAAGTGACTGATGCATCAAACCTTACGTATTTATTTAGTCGAATGTGACATGATTAAAAGTCCCTTGCTTCAGGCGCGCACAAGTCCCTTCGCATGGTCTCTTCCTTTTTTAACTAACTATTTCAAGCTCTTGATAGATTCTATTCAGGCTCAATTAAGTTCAGAAGCTCTAACGTTGTTAATAAGCTATTGTTAACGTGATAAATCATTCATTTTTCATAATAAAACAATCATAAAGCTCAAGAAAAGTGTCTTTTGTGTATGTGCAGCTCTCCTGACCACATCCTACGGCGTAGCTCATCCGCTATTATTATTTTTAGCTTAAAAAACATTAACTAAAAAGTAAACTATCTTAGGCAATTCATTTACAATAAAAACATTGGTCGTTCGAGCCGGATTTTGGTCAGTAGTGAAGTGAAAAGTGCTCGTGAAAAAGATATTTTTTTGTTCTTGCACTCTCGTGCTCGAACGAAGTATCGCTCTTTCGCTCGCGCTCATTAACTTTAGAAGCTCTTTCGCTCACACTCATTGGTCGTGAGTTTAGTTCAGTGTGGTTCTTAGAAGTGACTAACTTTAGGACTTTACATAAACACAGTAAACTTATTTACATTTTTTGTGTGGGTCGTTGGTGCTAGTGAACAGAAAAGTGAGTTTTTGTGCGGTGCTAGAAGATTCTAAGCTCGTCATCAATAATGACCAACGTATCGATGCTCGAGGCCGACGTCGAGCTTCACTCCACAGCTCAACTAGCTCTTCAAGATAAGAAAAAGGAATTTCTTCTCAGAGCTCTTGATGTTTGTCGCTCAGAAGATGCTAACAAGCTCTCTCTCTCCCAGCTCAAATCCAAGCTCTCTGTTCTTGAGGAGACGTGGCAGTTGTTTAGTCAATTAAACAATAACCTCGCTACGAAATTCTCTCAACTCTATCTTAGCTCCTTGTACAAGAAGAAGAAGGTAACTTGTAACGTTAGAGGTCTATGACGAAGCTCGGTCAATCCTGACCAACCTCATCAGCTCTCTTCGCTCAGCTCAACCATCATGCTCGCCTGAAGCCCGTGCAACTAGCTCACCTGGTGCTTATTTCTTTAAAAAAATTAAGATCAAACCCTTCAGTGGAAAATACTAGGATTGGAAGGAGTTTGAGGACTTGTTCCAGGCCATAGTTGGCAACAACACTGAGCTCAACGACGTTCATAAAATGACGCCATTGAAAGGTGCAATTCAGGGTGATGCAGCTCGGCTTCTTCAAAACTTGAGGACCACTAATGACAACTACGCCATCGCGTGGAACCTGCTTACGTCTCGCTACGAGAACAAAAGGCTCTTGATCTTAACTCAGCTCTATAAGCTCTTCGGCAATAGCTCAGTGGTAGAACCAACATCGAAGGGTCTCCACGACTTGCTCAATGGGGTTCGAGAAGCTCTCGATTCGTTAAAAGCTCTAGATGCCGAAGTTGACAAGTGGGACATGCCACTTGTCTATCACTTAGTTCGTCAGCTCGATCCTTCCATCAGGAGAGAATGGGAGCAAACGCTCGGCTCTAACACCGCCTATCCATCGCTCAGCTTACTTCAGGAGTTCTTGACTTCTGAAGCCATTTCTCTTGAAAGTATCGAGCTCACTTCGGAGAAACCAACAAAGCTCAAGTCGCCATCGACGGCCAGCTCTGCTCAACGTAAAAAACCAACAGCTCGGTCATATGCTGCCACTGCTCAAGCTCAATCTCCAGCTCCTGCATCTCAAGCTTCATCAGATCAAGCTCAACGTGTGGCTTCATTGTGGCTTTACGTCTGTGATTATTGTGGCAGTACTAATCACTTCATCGCCAGCTGTCTAGACTACAGGAAGCTCTCTCCACCTAACAGGCTCAAGCTCGCAATGTAGTATCGGCTTTGCAGCAATTGCCTTGGCAGACACAATGTCAAGGCTTGCCAAAGCGAGAAGCGTTGTCGTCATTGTGGTATGAAGCATCATACCACAATACATCAAGGCGAGGCCACTCAAATCAGCTCGGCTCCGGCTTCTGCAGCTCCAACCAGCTCGAGCGCATCCGATCCAGCTCCAGCTCAACAGCCGCTAACCACAACAGGTTGGCTCCACAGGATGAGCTCCAATTAAACTTGACAGTCATGCTCTAGAATTAATTCTTGTTTCTTTTGTTGTTAGCTCAGCAGCTCAGCTCACCGCTAAGCTTTCTACCAGCTCTTGATTCGTGCTCCAGCTCAGTTCACCAGCTCAACTCAACGCTCAGCTCTCCACCAGCTCCTGATTTACGCTCCAGTTCAGCTCCAGTTCCAGAATCATCTCTAAGCTCGACCTTTGGTCTTCCGATAAGCTCTTCAGTAGCTCTATCTTGTTCTACTAGTTCTTGTGATCCTCCAGCGCTTAAACAAGTTCGAGAATTGTCTGTCTATTCAACAGCTTTACTTGCAACAGCTCAAGCTCACCTAATTGTTCCTGTTTTGGCTCGTCAACCAGTAAGAATTTTGTTGGATTTAGGATCAGAGTTCTCTTTCAAAACAAATAAGTTAGCTCGTCAACTCCAGCTCCCAAAACAACGATTATTAATCCTGCTCACTGGTATTTGCAACGCTGCTGCTGGTCGTACACGGGGTCTAAGCATCATCACGCTTAAATCTTTCTTCTCAGACGACCAAATACAAGTTCCTGTTCACGTGCTCAGCAGGATAACAACATTCTCTCCTACCTACAATATTGACAGCTCATCGTGGTCTCATCTCAAAGGCCTACAGCTCGCAGATCCTCAGTATAGAACGCGAGGTAACATTGATGTCTCTCTGGGCTCTATACCATTAGCTCAAATCATTCGCTCGGAGCTCAGACGAGGTCACACCTCAGATCCCATAGCTCTCAAGACTATTTTTGGTTGGATTGTCTTCGGTGCAACTAAGTCAAGCTCATCATCCCTAGCAAGTCTAGCTCTTCACGTGAAACAGGATCACGATCTTCATGAACTACTATCTAAGTTTTGGGTTCAAGAAGAGACAGCCCAAGCTCATTCTTCTAAGCTCACTCTAGATGAAGACCACTGTGAAGCTCATTTCATCGAAACTCACTTAAAGCATACAACCGGAAGATATGTTGTGAGACTTCCATTAGTTCCATCACCACCAGCTCTTGGAGAATCCAAAACCCTCAAATAACTCTGAGCTCAATCAGCTCTACACGCAATTTATGAACGAATATCAAGCTCTAGGACATATGAGGCGTGCTCCAGAAGTTCAATCAAGTTCAAGGGGAAGTCCAGGTATTGTATCTGGTGATTGCTCAAATGAGATGACATTGGCACATGATACTTCGGTATCAGGAGGGT